CACAATTTATCAACCGCTGCAATAATCTAATAACAGATGCAAATTAAACATAATAAAATTCATATCCATCTATCATTTCAGTTCTGGTCTTTGTGTTTGTCATTTCACAGGCTGTTGATTGCGAGTCTGTGAGGAACTTTGAACTAGGGTTACCCGCACTTCGCGGACTACGTGGGGCGGGTACTCTGAAGTGCGAGTGCATTCTGCTGCTGATACATACTTTAGGTTTCTGAACATTAAACTTGTTGCTGCCTTTCATAGTGTGTAACTTGAAGGCCCTGAGTACTTTCTCCCACACTGAAAACACTGGGATGATAAAATTATTTGAACATTACCTAATAAGACTGATTCAGGACAGACAATTAGGTATTTTAAACATTTCTAGCAGTCCTTCACAAACAGGGAACAGTCTGTCTATTCTCTCCATCTGTCAGCTGCTGGCTCTTCCTCTTCTTCTTCCTCACACACTGCTGAGTTTGTCCTGGTGGATCATCAGGGGTGCAAAGCCTCACAGATGATGTGCAGCAGAGCATCAGAGAAAAAGAAAAAGAGAGAGAGTGCAGGACAGACAGACAGGTGACAGTCTCAGGTGTACACACTGCTACAAACAGAAGGATTTAGTGTTTGTGTTATTACGGTTGCTAAACAAGAAGAGTTCACAGAGGGTACAGTGGAAACATGTGTGACTCCATCTTTCTTTCAGCTTAACGAGTGAACCGTCAGCTCGTTCAAACACACGTTAAAGTCCGTTTGGCTCGACACCACCGAACAGAGGCAGCAATATAACATAGCTAACATTAACAGTGCAGTGAATCCTGCTTGTGCCGTGATATTCAGGACTGCAAACCGAGCAGCATCATTGACTTTCAGCTTGTTGTGTTTGTGGATATATGACTGACTTTAATTATCCATAAAATCATCACATTCTCTGTAAGAGTAAGGTCGACTCTTGCACGACGTATATTTAAAGTAAAGGCTTTAAAACCAAGTTAACGCTGAAAGTACAAACATCACAAATGTCACATAACTTTGCCGACATGTGGCCAACAGTAATGTTTTAATGTTCTTCATTAATAAGCATTCGCACATAAGTGACATAATATTCAGTACTTACTTTTAAGAGTTTAGTCTTCGGCTGCTCCGCTTCAGCCATCCGCATTTTTTTTACGGAAAAAATATCCACACCCACCGCCGCACTATGAATTGTGGGATATGTGGGGCCACAAAGTCTACAGCCTTCAAATTTGGGGAAATGAAGGGCGCATTTGTCGATGCATTTGGAGTACACTTCGAATAGGGACACCCTTTGTCGTGTCACTGTGACGTAATCGGTCTACAAATGTGCACTACGAAGCGTGCGGTCGCTGAATTGGGACACAGCTAACATGTCTTGAAGTTCTCCAGAAGCCTGGTAATGAACTAATCATTTGATTCAGGTGTGTTGACCAAGGGTGAGAACCTGCAGGACACCAGCCCTTGAGGCCTGGAGTTCGACACCCCTGCATAGAGTAAGCAGTGCTAAAATATAAAATCTCCATCCATCCTTTTCAATGTTGCGAGCCTATCCCAGCTGTCTTAGGGTGAGAGGCAGGGTACACCCTGGACAGGTTACCTATCCGTCACAGGGCTAGGATATAGACACAGACAACCATTTGCACTCACATTCACACCAATGGGCAATTTTAGAGTTTCCAATTAACCTATCATGACTAAATGCATGTCTTTGGAATGTGGGAGGACCTATACCAGAAATAGACCGCAAGCCAGTTATTCTTGTACATAGGAAGAGAAGATAACATGTAATTCTTATTTCATATGTAAGCATTGACCACACATTTTCAGCCAGTTCTCCAATGTGGAGAACTAGCATCTCCAACGTTGCTTGCCAGACTGTTTGTCCATGGAGAAAGGCAAGGTAAACCCTGGAGGGGTCTCCAGTCTATCACGGGGTAATACAGAGACAGGCGACCATTCACACACAACATTCTACAATAGCCTAGCCCCACTAACTGCATGTCATTGAACTCTGGGAGGAAGCTGAAGAGAGCCTGGAGAGAACCCATGCAAACACTACAGAGAAGGTACCAGCTGGTAGAATCAAACTCAAATCCTTCCTGTGAGGCAACAGTGCTTACGATGCACCGCTGTGCTGCCCCCATGTCAAAGTTAGTGTATCAATTTAAAATAAATAAGGAAACAGCGACTTACCCTGGCAATTCATTTCTCTTTAGTGTAATCCCGATTATGTACAAGAGCAAGCCATTTTTGTTTTCCCAAATTTACCAGACTATCTTCAGATTTACGAGTCAGCATAGCAACAATCAGCAGCTGTACCAAAACAAAAGTGTTATGTTGTTGTTTTTGTTAATGAAGCGTTACTTAACACAATCTCACCTATATATTGGTTTAATGCTGATTTGTTAATTATCCCACCATGGAGACATCATGGGAGAGATTAGAAAGGAGCATGCTCACCACTCCCTTTCTTTAATGATCATGAAATGTAGTAGACCAAATTCTGGATTTTGAAAGTCAGATGTTTTCCCATTTAGACAGAATTTTAATCCATGCAGTTCATGTCCTCTTTTTTTTTGCACTTATATAATGAGCCAGATGTTTTCTGTGGGTGATGCTGGACTGTTGGCAGTTCATATTGGCACTTGTGGGGATTGGTACCAACCTTAGCTCTTTCATGAAATAGCAGGCGTTAAAGTTATAATATAGATCCTTTAGATCAGGGGTGTCCCGCAAAAAATTTAGCAGCTGTGCAGTGTCTGTGCCATCAGTGTTCGGATCGCATGCGATGGAGTAAAAATCAAAAGCACAGCTTTATCAGACAGTTGCAGTTTAATGTTGGCTGACAAGTCTTCAATGCGTCGCACAACTGTATTTCTGGACATGCTGACGTTGTTGAAGTCCTGCACTTTTTCCGGGCACATTATTTCAGTGAATTTAACGAGGCCATGTTTTATGAGGTTTGCCATGTCTTGCGATGAGTTGGGCGACCTTATAGCTGGCTATTGTAGCCTCTTCCTGGACCTTTTGAGCATGAAAAAAATACTGTTGCTGACCCCGCAGGAGAGCTACCCTTTGCTTTAATTTCTGCTTTCGCTCAGCACCAGTGTAGGATGCATAGGCCTGATGTTTGGTTTCATAATGACGTCATACATTATAGTCTTTCATAACTGCCATAGTTTCAGTGCAGATCAAACAGACACATGTCCCCTTGAATTCTTTGAAGAAATATTCACTCTCCCACCGTGTCTGAAATTTTCTGCATTCACTTTCTACCTTTCGCTTCTTTGGTTCTCCTATGTTTAGTAACTTGGGGTAAATTTCTTCTGTGATTGTCCTTTTTGGTGGAGCTAGTGCCTTGATCAACAGTAGCTCCCCCTGGTGTTAAAACTAAGAAGTGCAATACACCCAATACCCTCATCATGAAATTAATTAATTAATATCCAACTGTGAACTCCATAAATGAAAAACAAAGAAACAACCACAGTCAAGTTATCATCATGAGTACTGTAGGAGCACCTTGTTGATGGATTAATTTAGAATTTCACATATTCTTGTGCCATTGTGCACCTGTTTACAGGTTGAGTGACTCTACATTGTCTTGGGTTAACATAGGTCATCCTGCACACAGAGACAGACAGAGAGGCAGACAGGTGTGTCTCTCAGACGGTGCAGAGGCATTCAACTATCAACTGAACTATGTATAATAAAACAATATAAAACAGTCAATTGTCAAACAGTGGCAATTTGGATTATCCAATTAACCTATCCCCACAAGCTGCATGTCTTTGGACGGTGGGAGGAAGCCGGAGTACCCGGAGAGAACCCACGCAAACACGGGGAGAACATGCAAACTCCACACAGAAAGATCCCGGAAACACAAGACCTTCACAATAAAACAGGAACTGGAATATTACACAGGAGTGGGGGAAAGGCAGCCAAGAAGGAGCAAGGGAACACAAGGGCAGACATGACAAATGGGGAAACATTATGGAACAAAACAAGGAAGGGAAAATCAGGCACAAGAACTCAAAACTATATGAACACAGATACACAGAGGGAAACACAGGAGCAAAGACACAGGGAAAACTAACAACCAAAAAACCTAGGGACTAGGACTAACAAGGTGGCCTCAAATTATAATACAAAATGACAAAACATTAAAAACTGAAACCGCTGGGTCATAAGACCCAGGATCGTGACAAGAAGTAAAGTTAGCCTAATGGAAAATTAGAAACAGTGTTGAAGAAACATTTTCATTCATTTTCAGGATCCATGTGGAGGTTAAAATCACCCACAATTGTTTTATCTGTACTGAACAAAGAAAATGCACAAACTTAATAACACTGCCCAACTGGGATGATTTAGAAACCCAGTGACATTACAGTTTTTTCTGAATGCTTAAACCCCAACTGTGATTCTTATAGCACAATTTCTAAAACTATTAATACTTATAGCAAAACCACTCACTGAGTTTGCGAAACTAAAAGCACAAACACTGCTTTGCACTCAGTTTGCCATTTTGTAACACACACTCTGCAAACCTGTAGCTACAATCCACTGCACAGCACTCTTTTTGCAGAACTGTAAACACAACTCACTGCTTTACACTCAATTTCCAAATGATCAACACACTCCTAACAAAACTATACACATTTATGGCCATTATTTACACTATTTTGCCAACTGTCTGGCACACTGTCACATGTGAAAACTGTTTTAGATAATTAGTTCACTTTGCAATCAGCCTAAGCACTGTAATACAGGTAAGCTCTGTGTGTGGAGTACAATGGAGGGAGCAAGAAGAGTGAGAATTAGAGGAGACCGAGGAAGAGGACGTGGAGGTGAAGCAGTAGGACAAAGAGGACGACAAGGAGGTGAAGTTAGAGGAAGAGGACAAGGAGGTGAAGTTAGAGGAAGAGGACAAGGAGGAGTAAGAGGAGGACGAGGAGGGGGAGGAGGAAGGGTAAGAAGAGTAAGAAATAGAATTACTGATGACATCAGCTCTACATTAGTGGACCATGTAATCAACCATGGAATGACCCTGAGGGAAGCTGGCCAACGGGTTCAGCCTAACTTGAGCTGCTACACTGTAGCAGGCATCATAAGGACATTTCGAAATGAGAATCGGTTAGTACAGTCACTTTGCACTAAGATTTGTAGCACTGCCATATGCTGATGGCAAACACAACAATACCATAGATGTAAAAATACTGAAATTGTTACTTTACAGAATTGCTAGACGACCAGATGCTGGGGGCAGAGGAAGAATGTTCACTGCAGACCAAGAAACCCATATAGTCAATATGGTGATTGCAAATAATTCCATTAGACTACGCGAAATTCAGCAGCACATAATTGAGGATGATACCACCTTCCAAAACATAAAAAATGTGAGCATTTCTGTATTAGGTCGTGTACTTGCCCGCAACAGAATCCGAATGAAACAAATCTACAGAGTACCTTTTGAAAGAAACAGTGAACGTGTAAAACAGCTGCGATATGACTATGTGCAGGTAAGCTATAGTATCATTGGTACTGAATTTGGAGTGCATACTGTAGTGCTGTGCATGTGCCTGCTGTGCTGAATTTGTTTTGTCTTGTCTAGAGAGTGATGGAGCTAGAGGCAGATGCCATGGGTCATGAGCAGATTTTTGTGGATGAGGCTGGTTTCCACCTCACAAAGACAAGGAGACGTGGCAGGAACATTATTGGACACTGTGCCATAATCAATGTCCCAGGACAATGTGGTGGTAACATAACTATGTGTGTTGTTCACCATCATGCAACCCTGGGCCCATATAACACTGCACACATTATTACATTCCTGGACACCTTTGACATGCTCACCAATGTTCAGAGACCAGAGCAGACCAGATACGTCATCATATGGGACAATGTTAGTTTCCATAGATCTGCTTCGGTCCGCAACTGGTTTACAGATCACCCACTCTTCACTGTACTCAACCTCCCCCCATACTCTCCATTCTTGAATCCAATTGAAGAGTTCTTCTCTGCCTGGCGCTGGAAGGTCTATGACCGTCATCCCCATCAACGTATAGCCCTTTTACAGGCAATGGAGGAGGCATGTGGGGATATTGACCAGGCATCATGTCGGGCCTGGATTCGCCATTCCAGGAGATATTTTTCCCGGTGCCTTGGACTCGAGGACATTGCATTTGATGTTGACGAAATTTTGTGGCCGGACCCAGAGAGACGACACGATGTAGACTGATTTCTTTTTTTTCCTCAGTGAAATTACTGTTTTGTTTGGACTTGGGAATAAACACTTGTGTTTGTTTTGATGTGTGTAAATAAACACCAGTACTTGAAGTTTGGATCCCTCCATGTTTACAGACCTATGACAAAAGTATGAGCTCAGACTGACATAGCCTACTTTGTGCACAGAGAAAGCAAAAGCCAGATGTGTTTTTTATTCATACCATCAGTGTTTAGTTGGTGCATTGTGTGCTTATTAATATGATGGCTTGTGTTAACTGTTGGATACGAAAATACCATTTTTACAAGGGTGTGGAGAGTTAAGCAAGGGTTATTCGCTTTTGCAAGAAAACTACAATGTTTTGCTGATTGGGTGAAGAGTTTTCTTATTTGTGTGTAGAGTTTTGCAAAAATAGCCAATAGTTACAAAAAATGTGCTTAAGCCATCAGAAAAAACTGTAAATGAAAAATCACACCAACCCCTGTGGTGTGGGTTCTGTTACCGTGGAGGGACTAGTTTCATTGGTTTTGTTCCACTGGTTTCGCTCCTTAGAGTGAAGGATGCAAACCAGTAAGTTGATCTGAATGATTGCTTTAATCCTGTAATGAATGATTTCTATCCTGAAGAAAGTGGCCATCCATACGAAATTGGGAGCGACTGAATAGTTTCTGAGTACTCAAACAAAAGGTTCTCAGCTCACTTGAACACTTGAGATCTCTTGTTTTCAAGCTGTTGTGGCAGCATGTGTCCAAACCCCTACAGACTTACTATATTTAATGTCAAATTTATTAGTCATTATAATTTTAGACTTGTAGAGGGTAATCAGGCCTCGATCCCAAAAGCCCTATGGATTGTACCTCTCTGAACAAGGCATACTGACTATCCTTCAGTATTTTTAATGAAACTGCAGGGATACCGATGGCTGGTGCTTTAACCAGCTGTTGAGTGTTCTATACCTCCAGCTGGACAAAGCAGTGCATTTGCTGCATGGCAGTGCTGTAGATGACAGGCTTCTACTCCTTTACCAGGAGCATGTGGCCTAATTTGCCTATCTTGAATTCACAGTGGTCATCCCTTCCCTCATGGTTATCATACTTTGCTTTACTGCAGCTAAGGTCTGATCATTGATAGAGGCATTACTATACTGTTTTGTGCACAGGAAAATGGAAGGCAGAGGATTAAATGGAAAAGCAAGCTTTAACTGTGTGGTCGCGAATTTTGAAGCCATCCTGATAACCTTCTCCCACCAACGATGTGGAGATCCAACCTCTTTAAATCCAATTAAAATCAAGACACTGAAAAAGATGCTCTGGACAAGAGTATAATTCTTGGAACAGAGTTTAATACACTGAATCATATGAACAGCAGGAAAAATACATACAGACATTTAGCAAGAGAATTACATAGCAGAAAGCAAGCAAAGCAAAACCCTGGGGTATACAGCCTTAAGCACAGACAGCAGAGCAACACAGAGACGGACAGAGAATAACAGCAGAGGGGAAAAAAGTGCTGGGGGTGTCCTCTGGTCCTCTAATATATCCTCTAATATAACCAGTATCCCCGCCCCCTGCTGCTGAGTAACTTTTCCACCCGTTCAAACACAGCTACAGGGGTCAGGTAGCTGCCAAGGTTTTGGCCAAAGGCCAGTCAGGACTCTGACTACCCCTTGCTCTGGCTTATCACAATAGGTCATGACATGGTCAAACATCACACATTAATCCTAATTATTAAATCTTACACAGCAAGTGGCACAATCTTATAATATATAATCTTATAACTACTTTGCTTAAGACACTTCAGTGTAGTTCAAAGTATGTGTGTGTGTGTGTGTGT